AGGAAAATCAAAGGAAAGCACAAGACATTTGAGGTTCCCTTGAGAATCTAAGGTGAGTTTTAATTGCAACACAATCATACACAGGAAGTCTACTGATAAATTTCTAAATATGGTGTTGAATAATAAGACTACCACTTAAGGGAAATTACAAGGGTATTTGTAACCTATAATGTAATAGGCAATAGGAATTAAAAATTAAATAGAAATTTAACTCATTAAAAACTCTTAACACAATTAGAAAGGAAAAAATTAATGCCACTAAAATTACAACGGCATAATCTGAGCTATTATGATCAGTATTGGATTTAAGAGATATATAATTCCCAATCATTGATAAAATTTAGTGTTCTTTTTTCCCCTTTTGTATCAAAACTCAATATGCATCAATCTATTAGCCACTTCTGCTCAATAATTGACATTTCATCCTGCATATAGACGATGCAGGTGAAGTAAACAAGTCTAAATTTAAAGTATGTTTAAATGGAAAAATTCATCAAATAGGGAAATACCATAAAATGGTTCTAAGCTCTTAAAGAACAATATCGTGAACCTGAAAACAAGTATAATATGCTTTACAGCTCAATCAGTAATAATATTCTTTGCAAACATTGGACATCTTCCAGTAAAGAGCTATAACAAGCAATAGCTTTTAAATCTTAAAAGTTTTTCAGGACTTACTATATAGAAGATTTGCAAGGCTCCCATTACTCATGAACTCATAAATTAACATGTACTGTCCTTTATCCACACAATATCCAACTAAGTTCACTAGATTCCGATGATGCAGCCTTCCTAGGAGACTTACCTACAAAAGAACGGACAGGGTCAATAGTGGGAAGTCCATATTAAAAAGTTAGCAAAAGAAACCTCCAGTTCCTTTAGATCCAAGCAAGCAAATGAAGTGAGTTTCTCATATGGCAATAAGCTATCCTAATAATATTAAATGGGAGATAAAGAGAGAGATATCCTACTAATAAGTAACTTCGCAAATTTATCTAGGATCTAACAAACTCCTCCCCCCAACAATTCCAAATGGGGGCTGCCTAACTTACACTTACACAGCTACCCCCTCTCTTATACTTGTTTTCAATATACATATATACACACACACACACATATACAGATAAACAGATAGATAGATAGATAGATAGATAGATAGACAGACAGACAAATAGATAAATAGATAGATTAAGTTATCACTTGAACTTCTGTACAGATTACTTCATACCAAAAGAAATATACATAGATATACATATGCATATATACAGATAGACAAATAGATAGATAGATAGATAAATAGATAGATAGACAGATAGATAAATAGATAGATAGATGAAGGTGGATGGATGGATTATATATACATAGATCATTATAACCTTCCTCTTCTACCATAAATGATAATATCAACAATTCACAATTACCTCTGTATGGAACTCTTTCTCCCCCTGATGTGAATTAGAAGCAAGCACTTTTACAGCAGCGACTCCTCCAGTAGGCATTGCTGCTTTGTATACGGGACCAAAAGACCCTTGTCCCACAATAGTTGTGAAGTTGTGAGTGGCTTTCTGTATATCTCTGAAAGGTATAATTCATAAGGTTACCGATACAAATACTTTACCTTAAACGGAAAAAGATTTCTCAGTTTCATGTAAATATATGGCAAGAAAGATAGAAAAACAAACTGTAAGACAAGGCCACAAGATTGAGATAATGAGCAATTTCAGTAGAATGGCACCCTGTGCTCATCATGAATTACTCATGCAAAAGATATCTTAAATGGTTTTAGAATATGCAAGGAACAGGAGAGTTCGTAATTTCACTCACTTGTAGGCATATCTAGGTATGCCCGAAGCAGAAGCAAACTGATCTTTACTATGATGGTTCCACCATGAATGCTGACCGTTTCTGTGTGGGTATTCTGCTCCCTGAATAGCTATGGAACTTGAGAGAGACGCACTAAAGTCAGTGCTTGTACCTAAGCCATTTGTGCGTATTGGAAGGTCTGTAAGACTTCGCTCATTTGAACACCGTTGAAGACGAGCAAGCTTTCTATACCACCTTATGCCAAAATACAGAAGCGCAGCTATCAAGATACCAAGGGCCACACCAACTGAGATACCAATAACAACCAAATCACCTCTATGAACCATTCTTAGGCTTCTTTTGAAATTTAGATAGTGTAAACATTTTGCAGGGCACAATGCTCCAGGCTCACTGTCATAAATGAGGGCACAAATGAATACTATAGTGAGTTAATTTTTTGTGAACTTCAAACGTCAGATATTTTATTTAGATAAACGAACTGACTCCTGTACTAATACCAGAAACAGCCACATGAACACATCTCAACATTCATTTGCATGATTCTGTAAGTTTTTAAATTCGTTATCATCCAAAGTGAAATTGATGTCATCACCAGTAGTCCATTTAATTGCTTGCTTGTTGTTTTTGCCTTATTTCTAACAGGTGTTCCTTGTCGAAAAAGGCTCAGATTTTGCATTCTCGACGTAGAAACTTAAAAGGTTTGATACATAGAAAAAACTTCGGTGCACAAAATATCTTCAAACAAAGATAAAAATTCATCCATTGGCACACAAATGAGATGTTTGCTAGCGCCTGTGTCAAAGGATATGCATTGAACCAACTAGAAAACAAAATCCAATCGAATTCATTTTCCTGTATTTTCCAAAATATCTCTTAACCATATTTACGCTCCCAAAACCCACATTCACATACTTATCAAAGTACCAAGACCCATTTCCTCATCGAACGCTCATCATCAAATCAACTCCTTGATGAACACACAATCAGAAACATGAATCAACTCCAAAAGACTTAATACAAGAAACCAAACCCACCTAAACGAGAAGAAGAAGAAAACATTCACATAGCCAATAACCAGAAGAACATAAAGAGCATCAAGATTTTGTCATAAGCAGAAAAACAAGAAAAAGAAAAAAAACCCATGAACGGTATCAAAGAAATTCTACCTGGTTAACTGAAAGATCCTAACAAGAACCCAAGACGATCAGTGACAGTTTGTATGAAAAAAAAAATGCTTCCTTTACTTCTGATTGCGGATCAAGAATCAATAAAGCTGGTGAACCGATTGACAAAAAGAAACTGCAAGTGTGGGAATGGAGGAAGGGGTCGTCGTTGGAGGCTTTCTTAAAGCAAATTGGAAATAAAGAATGAAACCGTCGATTTTTCTTTGCTGGGTGATAATTATCGTAAGGGTAGCCCCACTGAAAAGAGCTCGTGAATCAAACAGAAGAGTACAGTAAAGGCGGTAAAACATTTGGTCTCATTGACTTCTCCGCCATTAAAATTTTCAGCCAGGAGCTTAATGTACTCTGCTTTGGCTTCTTTATATTAAATATTTCTGAATTTTTCACATTTTAGTATTCCGGATTTTGTTTAATTATTTGATTTGAAGTTATTAATTTTTAGGGTTTTACGATAATGTCAGATTTTTCATTTTAAATATGTTTCGCAAGCTTATATTTTATGTATTGAGAATAAGATAAACTTTTTAAAAATAATGACATCATATAAAATAATTAGTCTTTGTAAATTAATACAAAAAAATTATAAAGTTTTAATTTTTTTTTAAAAAAAATATTTAAGAAATTAATTAATCTACTTTTTGAAATGGTAATTAATCTTTTTTTTTTAATTCAAAAACTCGTACTTTAAATATTAATTATGTAACACTCTATCAGCACTCGTACCATATTTTTAGATCTTAATTATTTTCTATTTGTTTTAGTATTATCGACAAATTGAGCTTACTATTCCCTTAAATAGCAAGTTTAAGACGTCCAAAAACAACAAAGCATATCAAATCATGTTTTAAAATTTTTAGACTTTATATCCTTATTCAAACTTAATATTTTAAGGTAAATTATTATTTTTAGTATTTAAACTACTACTAATTACATTGTAATCGAGTCTTAATATTTTTTATTCTAATTTATTTTATTAAAATTTCTGAAATTTTTATATAAAAATTAAGAATCATAATAATATTAAATTTAATAAGAATAACTAAATTATTATTATTTTTAATTTCTGTAACGATGCGAGTACGCAAATTACTTTCCTATTTTGAGAAGAGAATTTTTTTTTTTTCTTAAAAGGGTTAAACTGGTTTCACCAACTTGGTATTTAAAATTAGAAATGGATAAATATCAATAATAAATAATATAAATAAACAATTAAATTAAAACACGTATATTAAAAAAGGCACCAACCACTCACTAAGGTTTTAAATATGTTAACCAGAAGAAGTCTCATCTAATTTTAAATTGGACTTGGTCATTGTTATCTAAAATTAAAACGGCGTCGTTTTATTGGAGCAGCTTTTTTGGGCCTGAGCTTTTGTGGGCCAGGCCGTATATGGACTCAAGATGAGTTGGGTTCGGGTTTTAAAAGATTCGGAAGGTGTTTAATAATGGGATACGTGTGGATATAGATTTTAATTGTGAAATGGGTTTTTAATTATATATCATATTTTTATATAGCAAAATCAAAATTTGTGTATTGAATAAATTAAATGTAAAAAATTAAAATGACAGCAGAAAAACCACTAAAGCAGAGAGAATATTATCTACAAAGTTAAAACTTCCAAAAGATACACACCACTTTTTTTTTTTTCCAATTCAAATGAATGAATATGTGCTTAATTTTTTGGTGCAATATAACTAAAAGGAAGTCTTGAAAAGTGATATGGGAGTAGAAATAATCAAAATCATATATGCCATACTTAACAACGGATGCATTCACTAGCCGACAACCCAGTAATGAAAAAGTATAGTTTCCATGTATGTATATATACATCCAATATCTTTGCATTTGTAATATTAAGTTGTGGGTATAAGGTGGGTGCCTTTACATCGTTGAAGGGATGGAAGAGAACTTAGTGCAGATGACTAGAAATAACTTATTCTGTGGTTCTATTTTAATTTGTTCAGTCAACTAATAAATTAATTAGTCTATTTTCTCTTTTTCTCAATTATATGTACTAATTTTACAACCAGAAAAAAAAAAAAAAAAAAAAATGTTAATAAAATCCAAGATTTAGTCTGGTTGATAAAATTTTATTTATTACAATATCCTTTCCACAAAAGAGATTGATACTTCAGTTTACACCAGTATTTGTGGGAGTAATGATTTCAATATTGGTGTAAGTAATCCCCATAAAAGAAGATTCATTCTCCCTTGCTGAATTCTATTGTTATTTCTCTTTGATGTGAATTGCACTACAACCCACTCCCACTCAATATTCAATTCATCATCTTTCTTCTTTTTAACATAATAAAAACTATGCCTTAAATTTGAATTGTTAATACAATAAAACGTATTATACAATCTGAACTGAATACTCTTACGAATGACTTATATCCGAGCATCAGCTGAATTACTTAGAAAAATTTGGCGTAATGTTCTTATCACTAAATCAATTAGCCATGAGAAAATTAAACAGTACTCAACATGTCAATCCTTTTTTTTTTTTTTCTGAAACAAAGTATTAGATGCTTCTCGCTCTCTAGTTTTCGTTCTTTTTCTCGAGAAATGACCATACATATGTCATCCATTAATCTGGATTTCAACCCAGAAAGATTTTACTGGTAACCAAACACACCCAATATTGATATCTAGAATCTGTCCTTGCTTTCCAAGATGCTAGTAATTAATAATTATATACATTTTAATTGGGCACAAAATACTGAATATATTCTTGATTAGCTTCTGAGATTAAGTGATGATGACTTCACTAACGTGTTTATTACACAAGAGATTCTGTGATTTAAAGTAGAAAAAGAAAAGAGAAAACTAGTGCTTGATATGATTTAAGAGTTCAATCATGTCTTCCAATTTTTGTTAAGGAGATATTCTTTCCATTCTATGTGCATATATATAAGCACTAACTTGATCAGGACTTATCAGAAAATAGCAAGAGAGGAAAAGAGAGTGAATATGAAGTGCAATGGTGGAGAGTTTTGGAGATGTATGTTTGTGATGATCCTCGTTAATTTGGCTTTGGCCGCCATGAACATACTTCTCAAGGTGGTGCTTGATGCTGGAATCCAACATATGGTTATTGTCACATATCGACTGATAATTGCTACTGTGTTCTTGACGCCCATTGCTTACTTTCTCCAAAGGTGGTATACTAGGACTGTTTTCATTTCTTTAGAGAATGAATTAAATATATTTTTTTTAATTTTGTAATGTTTTTAGTATGATTATCAATGATTCGATTCCTATAAAATAGGTAGCACCTGTTTAATATTTCGAGCTATTTGAATTACTTACACTTTGATTTTATATATATATATATATATATATATTTTTTTTTTTTTTTTTCTTGCAGGACAAGTAGACATAAACTTACAGCCATTATCTTGTGTCAACTTTTCTTTAGTGCTTTAGTTGGGTTAGTACTCATACCGTTTCTTGCTTATCCATTGACTTATTTTCTATGCTTCTAACAAATTCTTCTTTGTCCCGATTAACAGGACAACTCTCACTCAATACTTCTTCCTCCTTGGACTTGACTATACATCAGCTACATTCGCTTGTGCATTCATTAACTTGGTGCCTGCAATGACATTCCTCTCCGCCTTACCATTCAAGTAACTTGATATCAATATTTACACAGTTTCGTTTAGATTTCTGACGATTGATCATCATTGTAATCATCTCACACAACTTATGTTATGCACTTGACACATTTCAGGCTCGAAAAAGTTGATATAAGAAACAAGAGTGGGAGGGCAAAGGTGCTAGGGACATTGATTTGCATTTGTGGAGCTTTGGTCCTGATCCTCTACAGAGGAATGCCATTAACAACAGGTTACCATAATTTGCAAGAAAACTTTGACAACTCAATCAGCCATTCTAAAAAGAAGGTTAAAGATAGGTCGGCTTTGGGTTCGATTTTGTTGATCATAGGCTGCAGTTTGTGGGGTTTTTGGTTTATTATTCAAGCAAGGATTGGAAAAAAATACCCATGTCAGTACTCAAGCACAGCTGTTCTCTCATTTTTTGGTGCTATCCAATCTGGAATTTTGAGTTTGAGCCAAGACAGGAGTATTAGCATGTGGGTATTGAAGGGAAAATTTCAGATCCTTACTGTTATATATGCTGTAAGTACATATTATTTTAAGTCTTTTAACATGTTTGTAATTGGGTATAGTGTGATATCTCAATCTTATCTCGAAAAAACATGAGATTCTTGTCCTTCGTATGAATATTCATATTATTTTCCAATAGTTTATGTCTAAAAGGATTAGGCTCGAGATGTTATACACATAAATATGTCAATCTAATTTCAATTTTTGGTGAAAATAGGGAGCAGTTGGATCAGGACTATCATATGTAGGACTCTCATGGTGTGTAAAGAAGAAGGGTCCGGTTTTCACTTCTGCGTTCACTCCTTTAATACAAATATTCGCAGCAATACTCGACTTCTCTTTTTTACATGAGCAAATTTACTTTGGAAGGTAAAATGTTTGGCTTCAGTCAAATGTCTTATATACCTATAAAAGTTTATAGTAACTAATTACAGTCTGGAATGAATAATGTTGAGCAGTGTTTTGGGATCAATGGTGGTGATAATTGGTTTGTATATGGTGCTGTGGGGTAAAAGCAAAGACGCTGAGGAATGTGTAAAGAAACAAACCCGAGTAATCGAAGAAGAAGACTGCAACTGTGTAATCTCCCAAGTTATATCAGTCAATGTGAATTCAGCAGCAATGGATGATTAAATTCCTCAACAGTGATGGTGAAAATAGTGTGTAACGAACACATATTCGGACAACATAATAAGCTTTTGTAATGCAAGGAAAAATGAGTAATTTGCTTCGGTCATAGATACAAATAGTATAGAGATTAACTATAAATCAAATATACAAAACAATGACTATTTTATTCATATCAAGTAACTAAAATATTATCAAATAAATAAAAATTGAATATATTTGAACTAAACAGCACACTAAAAGCATGTCACAATTTCTATATACTGACACTCTTTGTTGGTTTGAAGAAAATATTAAATTTCCTTCTGCACATACATATTACACGTCCTCCACTTATGATCAACCCGTTAAACCCTATAACACAAATAAATGTCAACTAGTGATATTTTTCTATAGTATATCTAATGAATTAACATCTATATGCGGTCTCAATCTCGATAATCTTATAGAGTAATCGATATAGAGGTCAAAAAACACTATTTTTAACATTTTTTTAGTTAGGAGAATCTTGTCAAAATTTTAAAATACTCTAAATCTATGAAGTTCTCATAATTTCTAACACCAACAAAAATTATTCGAAATTACTAAATATTATCATGTCAATATTTATACGTATAAAAAAAAGCCTTCAAGACTTTAGATTTCTCGCATAAAGCATCTCTCGTCATCCATTGTTTTCAAAGAGACAAGTTTAATTTAATAGAGGAGTTTGATTTAAGTAAGTAGGATTTGCTTGTTTCTTTGACTAGAATAGTATGGTGAAGAAACATGTTATGGACAAATTGTTTTGTTGGCAGAACAAAGGGTAAAAGTAACTTTGTATATAGCCAAATAGGGAAAAATAGAGGACTTATCCCCTGGAACAGTGATGTGTGAGTGAGAATAAAACACTATTTATCGGTGAAAAGATACAAATTTTATATTTTCTAAAATTAAGACAATAATTTTATTTTAGGAGATAAGGTATTATGAATTGATTGTGGAGAACAAAAATGATTATATGAAAGAAATATAAGGAGTTTAAGAAATACGTTTTAAAAAAAAAGAGATAAGATACGTAAAATTACTAAAGATATTTATCCCAGTAAAACAATGTTATAAAGTGATAGACAAATATGAAGAATTTTGACATTGAAGTTAATTAGGTATTAAAAATAAATGATGTTATTGAATTATTTAATCTTTTTTTTTTTTGCAAATTTTTGAAAAGAAATTTAAAATTAATCTTTATTTTAAAAAAAAATAAATTCAAAAATATTATACTGTCACTTTATAAGATAAACAAAAAATACTTATCATATAAATAAACAATTAGGTAAAAAAAATGATAAAAATCAAATTATTGATATATAAACCTTGGTAAAATTGGATTGTGAATTTATGATTATGCATGTACATGATATATCAGTTGAAATACTATATTTAATAGTATCAATTTACCATCAATAAATTTATGTAAATTTTAGTAATTTATTCTATGAACTTATTGACAAATGGTATTTATATTATATTAATAAAATTAGTTAATATATATATATATATAATATATAGTGTAATTGCGCGTACAAACCATAAAAGTATTAATTAATAATCTTGAAAATTATATATTTGATCTTGGAAATGTGTTTGATTATTTTTTAAGGTAGAATCAGACGTGTAAAGAAAAGATTATGAGAAAACGTGCAGTTCATGTGATGAATATATATATATTATATAATATTCTCTGGTTCATCAAGCTGTACGAAGTAATCATCATTAACGATTTGATCTGTATATGCACGTTTACCACAGATGGAGATATGATCGATCTAATTTATTAAATATATAATTAAATAGTCATAATCAAATCTTAATTTACCTCGCCACCTTTGCGGCACATGATTACAAACTCATCATCCAATAGAAAAATCAAATTAGCAATTAAATTGTAAGTTTCAAAATTAAAATACTTCTCCTTTATAATTTACTGATCAAATTTTTACCCAAATGATAATCAATGATCTGAAATGTCAGACGTAGGTAAGTTCTTGACTAATTAGATCTGGAAATCACCCACCATTTCCAATTATATGTACTTGATGTTAACTCCACATGCTTCGACTTTTTCATTCAAAGCTCTTAAATATCATAATTATATCAAATATCTTAGTTTTTGTGCTTGCTAGTAGCCATGCATGTGATAATATACATATAAAATATACGTGAGAACTATAAATCATCTTGATCATTCTTGCCCGAAGTGGAGAGTTGATGAGAATTATGGGGTCATCATCATCAATGGCGATCATCTTCTTGTTGACTTTGCTTGAGCTCTGTGGTTTGTTGCAGAGTGCACCTCTTGCTCCTGCATTGTATGTTTTTGGAGATTCATTATTCGACAGTGGAAATAACAATCTGTTGCCAACCGCTGCTAAGGCTAATTACCGCCCTTACGGTGTCAATTTTGTCCATGGCGTTACTGGCAGGTTCACTAATAATAGAACAGCAGCTGATGTTATAGGTATAATTTATATATCTTGTATACCTTTGTTCATATCTATAACTCTATATGGGGGTGTGTGTGTGGGTATATATGTAATGTTTTTGTTTGTTTGCATGTGTAGCCGAATATCTTGGGCTGCCATATGCACCACCAGTTCTTGGCTTCCGTAAGTTACAAACACTTACAGGTTTGAATTATGCATCTGGGGCATGTGGGATCCTCCCGCAAACTGGAAGTCAATTTGTAAGAATCTGATAAAACTATCAATCTAACAATAGTCATAAAACATTTTCTGAGATTAAATTTGAAAATCTCATTATTCGGCAATTTAATTGCAGGGAAAATGCTTGAGTTTGGGAGAGCAGATCCTTTTGTTTCAGAAAAAAATAATAGAATTAAGATCAACAACATATTTGAGGAGATCAATTGCTCTCAGAAAGTATTTATCAAAGTCTATATTCCTCTTCTGCGTAGGCAGCAATGATCTTATCAACTATTACATTAACAGCCAAACAATACCCTTCTTCAAAAACACACGTCCTTCTCCTCAAACCTTTGCTCAGCTCCTTGTTGATACCCTGGTTCACCATTTTCAGGTTCTTCCTTCTCCCATCTAACCCATATAGATTACATATGTATGTATATTACAATATAAACTCTTTCAAAAAGAAAAACTAATGCTATTCTATCTAACCCCTTTTGTTATATATCAACTCCGAATTGTCTGAAGTGCCATAGAATGTCTTGTAACTGAATAACATTTTGCAGACACTCTATTACCTTGGTGCGAGGAAGATGGTGATGTTTGAAGTTGGGCCAATCGGGTGCATGCCATCCCTGGCCAAAACATATAAACACACCGGAAAATGTGTTGAAGAAGCAAACCAGCTTGTTCTAGAGTTCAACAAAAGGCTTTCTTCAAAGCTTAAATATTTGACATCTACACTCCATGGTTCCTCTTTTGTTCTTGGACGTGTTAACGCACTAGTCTATGATGCCATTATAAACCCTTCTAAATACAGTAAGTTTCTAGTTCCAATAATACCATAAATATACATAAACTAATGGTTGTAACTAATATGTTAAAAACATTGTGACCTGCATATTCTAGTTTCTTTTGGTTTCTCATTCTTAATTCACAATTTCTTTTACAGGCTTTACAGATACAAGGGATTCTTGTTGCACTACTTTGCAAAATGGAACTTGTATTCCATTCTCACAGCCATGCTCCAACCCAAACACATATTTCTTCTTTGATGGTTTTCACGTCACTGATGCTGCTAATTCAATTATCGCCACTCGTTGTATCCATGACTCTTCAATTTGCACTCCTTACACACTCAAGAAGCTTGTGCTAATTTGAAAGACGACCCTATAAAATTTTGTTTGGTTCGCGCAATTGCAAATCTTACCATATTCTTTTCTATTCATATCAAACTGTTTTAGAAACTATGAAATTCTTCTCTTTTCTTTAAAAAAAAGTTTTAGAAACTATGAAATTGCAATGGAGACTGTGTTCTGACTATCTTCCAAGTCTTAACAATTACTAGTCCGCACAAGAATACTTTGGAATTAAAATACTAAGATAAAGACTGGAGTTCAGATTATTATAATGACAAACCCTTATAAAGAAGATAATAATCATATATCTTTCTTAACTAGGATTGGTTAGTATGAAAATAAGGATATAAAATAAGGATATAAAATAAGGAAATACAACCATACATATTGAGGGCTATATCTACTCATTAGTGGGATATGTAATTGCATGAATGGAAGATCATTGAAAGTCTTCTCTAATATTTCTAACACCCACCTCACAGTCATGGAAGGAGCCAAAGTTTATCTCATAAATTGCTTAAACTGTTGACAAGCTAAGGGCAATAACAAATACAGAAGCAATCTGATAGGTTAACGAGGTAAAACTTGTTTTGTAGTTAGGCTGGAAACTGCTTAAAGACAAAACTAAAATCCAACTCAATAAATGACTGCAATCTGATAGGAATGGAAGGTTGGATTGGCGGTGAAATAAATGGTCTACATATGGTCAAACTACAAAATTGGAGTGGATGAGGGAAAACCCAGTTCTGCTAGAAGAAAATTGGATCGAGATAATCTCCACCTTTATGTCTGCAATAACTTTATATTCGTTCTCGTCATAGGATCATGCAATTGCAGATTCCAAGACAAAAAATGCATCCAAATCAACTGCAAAACCATTTAGAAAACATTGGTCATCTTGATCATCTCTCCAGTCATTGTTAGATAAACATTGTAAACGACAAGGTGATGGATGAGGAAAACAGAGACCATGTGAAACTATATACTTCAGATACTGCAATAGGCATTTAACGATTGTCCAGCGCAAATCAGTAGGATAAGTATATTAATTGGCAAATTTTGTTCATTGAACAAATCATAATGGACAAAGCTGCAAACTGCAGAGCCCCAACAACTAGTCAATATTTATCAGTGTTTGCTAGAAATTTTCCAGAATCTTCAGTCTGGGGAGGAATAAATTGGCATTGGAGTTACACAAGGTCTGGAAACTGTCACTTAGCTCAACTTCTTAGAAAGCTAGGAGAATTCAAAGAAAAGAATGTTATTGTTGGTGAAGGCTCTCTCTCTCTCTCAACACATGAAACCCACAATTACCCACAACAAAAATCATGAATTAAGTCATGCCCTACACCAATTGTTCACGAAATCTGACTTTAACGCATGCGGCTTGAGAAGCTGCATGTTGAGAAAACATTTTTTGAACAAAATTGTGATGCCCCAGGAGTGTACTCGTGCCCGTCACTTTGTTGGCATGCACCTCTCTTGACTCACCCCTTATATGGTTAACCTTTTGTTTGAATAAATTATTAACCTTTTATTTTACAGGAATTTATTCTTTAAAAGGGATGAACTAATTAATGAGCAAGCCACATCAATATAGAGAACCGAAGGAAGATGATTAGATAAAAAAGAAAACACTAACATCTCTAAGCAGGTAGAGGAAACGTCGAAGGACAACGGCGCGGAAGGGATCAACATTTCATTCAAACAAAACACAAAATCAAGAACTGGAAATATGATCACACTTCACTCAAACAGTGTTTAGGAAGCTAGAACGGTAAAACGTGGTACATCACATAGACTGCAATGACAAGACAAATAATGGAAACAAAAGCAAAAGCATGCAGAAATATCCATGTTGATCAAAAATATAAAAGCGGTGAGATTTATACCACAATTTAGATTGTTCCTTTTGCTTCAAGCTGGCCGAATCTCAGCATTTTCTAAGAAGCCGTAAAAAAGCACTCTCTCGGCTTTGGTTTCCTTCCATTCTCCGCTATCTTCTCCCCCTTCTTTTTCCTCTTACACAGAATCCCTGCAAAAGATGCCTTTTTTAAGCCATAGTCTCCCTCGGCTCTCTCACAAGCACGAAGAAGAAAATTCTCCTCCGCTCTCTCCTTTCTACTCTTCTTCTCCAGAGAACCCCCTTTGTAACTGTTCGTCTCCCTCTCCCAAAGACGCCCTGTTCCTCCTTTTATGGCCTCATAGTCCCCAACTACAGCTCATCCCGGCGCCCCTGCCTTGACGGTTTCTCCACCCGCTACTGCAAAAGCTGAGCTTGGAGATAAGCTCGCGGCTTCCCTTTCAGGTACTCTACTCCTCGCACGAAGGCCTGATTCTTTGTCGCCAGCCTCTTCACCCTCTGCTTTCCGTGCCTCTCTCTCCTCCAGCTCATACTATGTCTTCTTCCTGACACGGCCATCATCATCGGATCATCGCTCACCATCATAGAAAACTTACAAGGTTGCCCACCATTGCTCCTCTGTCTCTCTCTCTCTTCGGCTTTGTCTATTTTCAGAAATCCCTTGAACCCTCTGTTCTGCTGGTCGATCAGAGGAAGAGAGTTTTTAAAAACGGCGTCGTTGGGTTTGTTAATGAATGGGCTGAGCAAAGGATATGGGCCGAGTGAATTGCAGTATTGGGCCGAAGACTAGACATGGTTGGGCCTATGGAAGAGGCAGTGTGTTGGACTGATTAATGGGTTTTGGGGTGATGAAAGTGGGAATGAGAATGATTTTTTAATAGATCAAAACTTACAAGCTAATATTGCATTACCATTATTTTTATTATGTATAATTATCTTTTGAATTTTCAATCATTTTAATTTATTTAAAATAAAAATAAAAGTTACTTGAACAAAATTAAGATATGACAATTGTCAAAACAATAATATAATATTAAGCCCTTGATTATCATTTTTTTTATATTGCATTGATCTCTTCCCAAGAGTTTTAATAAATGAATCTATTAATAAAATCCATTTCTTTTCTAATACATTTTACTCAATGAATTATAGATTTGATATATCATATATATATACATATATATAGTATAAGTCTTATGTTCTATGTAAATTAAAAGGGAATTTCTATTTTACACGTGAACCGATAACTTTTAAAGCAACTTGGTTCATTATTTTCAAGTACTAATTAATTTATAAATTTTCTTATAAGAGTATTTTGAACCAAGATTGTTATTCCTTATTTTCAAGAGAAACTAATTTTACTACTCTCTAAAGTCATGAATCATGAGTTTATAAAGAAATACCGAGAAAAAAATTAATTCAAAAAAAAAAGAATTTACTTCGTCTGCAATTCAGTATCATAAATATCATAATATTATATTGAATACTATTAATGTACATATAGTTCAACTCAAATTCTAGGGTTCTAAAATAATTTATTCAAACTAAAATTAGTTCATTAATTAAACTAAATAGAAATACTACAACACATCACTTGATCATTTCACAAACTAGTACCTAAAATGTTATTATACAAAAGATAAAAAGGGGACTTTTGAAGCCACACAATACATACATATATATATATATAAGATATTTTAACTCTAACAATATCTTTGTTACAAAGTAAGACTAATTAACTACACTTGCTAAGTAATTCAATTTGCTCCTATGCATGCCCTAACATAAATCACTAATTAAAAAGCATAAACTTGTAAAGAAAAAAAAGTTCCATACTATATATATATATATATATGCCTATATCCTACATATGTATAGGCTTTGAGAGGCTGCACTACTTTCCTATTGGGTGCCAAAATTGTGAGCCAAAACCTAAATATAATACGTATACATATATATATGTATATAAGCATGCATATGTGGCTCTATCAATGCCAAGGTTCATTATTGTTTATTGGAGGCTTCCTGCGAGGCTTAGACATCCCCGAGTAGTCCTTGTGCATCAAACTCACAATCTCTTTTGATCTCTCCAGAAGTCTTTTTGCTTCTGCACTTGTCTGCAAACAATCAGTTTCTTCCTGCTGGTCAGACATGGAAGACCTCCTTGGAGTTCTCAACCCAACAGATTTCAATGGCTCCGTCTCCAATACACCGCTCTGCAATGAAATACATATATATACATATATAGATTAAATTATACATATATTAAAGTACTACTGTTTAATAGTTGAAAAGTTAAATAAAACATGTAAAATTTATTCTTTATTTCTGTAAGGTACAAAATTTGATTTAATAAAGTTAAATAGAAAGTACATCATAGACTAACTTCCATGAAGGAAGATGAAAGACCTTATCATTCACTCGATCTTGAAGTACTTTTCTGGGAGACCTGGTTCCATCACTCAGCTTTCCTGCATTCAGATCAGTATATCAATGGTGAAATTTACCAATATATATATATATATATATATATGTTTGTATATTTTTACCCACGTATATTCATTAAACCGAGACAGAATATCTCTAAATTTGATTGCATAACACATACAAGAATCTTGAATACTTTGCTACAATTAAAATTAAGCAAAAAAGAAAATGAAAAACTTTTCCGGCGGATATAAATTCATAAGATATATATATATGTGTGTGTGCATATTTAGGTACCGCAATCTGCCATATACTAGTAAGGTTGAATAGAAATAGGGATCTCAATAAAGGGGTTCTTCAGTGCTTTTATCAAATTAACACATAAACAAGTTAACATTAAAACAAAACCTACTCTGGAATCTTATTTCTACACCCAAATTTAAGTTTGTATTATTTATGGGAAAAATCATATTAATCGACCTGATCATTCTTTATCGAAATGAAAATCAACAAATTAACGAAAAAAATATATATATATATATAGAGAGAGAGAGAGAGATATATATAGTTATTACCTTGATGCAGGGAGGGGCCTCTAACAAGGGTATGCATAAGAAAGAGGAGCCCTATGGCTAAACCTGCAAGCCTTATAATCTGCATCATACTTGTGATATTCTTCTTCTTTTGTTTTTTGTGACTGATAACTGTGTTCTTAATTGTTCAAGAAGGTGAAAAAGGAGGGAGGAAGTCCTGGAAGAGTAAAGAAAGGGTCTTATTATACAAAGTTCAAACCCAGGTCAAAGCTAGGGTTCCGACACGTATCTGATGATACGTATATAATATTATATTTCTTGTCGCATGCAGGGCTTAGGAATACACAAAAATATTTTTTAAGAAAAAATGTAATTTAACGTACAAATAACTTTGAATAACATAATGTAATTGAAAAACAGTGTTCTTCCTTCCAAAGGCTTGAATGTGGTTTCCTTGGATGGTGTTCGAGAACACGGAAAATTATATATATGTGTATATATACATGTGTATGTATACACGTGTATATATATATGGATCTGTTTTTTATGCATGTCCCTAGCTCTATTGCCCATGCACAAGTAATGAATATGGGCATCCAAGGAAGATCAGTGACAGCAGAGATCTATACAAATCTTGAGTTTCATAAATATAAATTTTTGTTGGGTTTGCTGTGCCAATAGTAAATTACCAGCACGATCAAGTGATATATATATATATATATATAAGTGTTTACATTCAAATGTGTGTGTGTGTATAGTTGAAGCAGCTAACCGACCAAAACGTATATAGTTCCTTTTTCAGATTTATATCTACATATCTCTAATTCTTTCTTGATTTAACTACATGTAATTAATAAAATGCATCAAAATTAAGTACAAAAACAATCAACCAAATCATTCACCCAGAAACGAAATGCATGCCAGAATCCTCTTAAAAGTTTGCCGTGCGTTAATATATATATATATCACAAATACAGAAAAGAATATTAAGCTAATTAAAAGCAAAAATTTATCTGTGTATTACGAAACCATATGTATTAATACGTACCTTCATATGTATAATAATCCCCCAAGACCAAATGTATATTCATACAATCCGAAGCCACGAATGCCCATGTATGTATACACCGCAGCTGAAGTTGTGAAGCTTGTTTCCTTTTCCATGAAATGGAACTTATTAAGACAATTTCTGTGTTTTATAGATCAAATGTGGCAAAGTCAAAAGCTAGGAGCTATACCTCTATATATAAAATGTTACAACATTCTACAGAAAAATATTATACTAATTATTATTAATTTGCACCATCTATATTAATATTTTTTGTGTTTTACTGATTTTGGAACATTAACATTAAAAAAAATAATAATAAGTTTTCATGTTTTATCAACTTACAATATGTTATGTTCATGAGATATATATATATATATACATATATACACACACCTAGTAATATATATTCATTCCCATTCAGTTTAGAAACAACCTATATATATATATATACACACACACACGCTGTAAGTAAAAGCTGAGAATTGATACCTGTCAACTCATCATTTTCTTAAAATTATTTAATATTTAACATGAAAAAAATTAACATTTTTAAAGATAAAAATAATTTTTTAAGTAAATAATATTGAATAAAAGTAAAATGATAATATGAAAATTATTCTATGCATATTTATATGTTTATTAAAATTTTTTTTCCACATAAAATAGGATTTATATTATTTCTTATATAACTACAAAAATTATTATGCGCATATTTACTAAATTCTAGAATAAAACTATACCCTTCTCTTCGCGCATATATATATATATATATATAATACACACACACACGTAAATATATATATATATATATATGTCGAAGTTGTAATAATTAATTAATTAATTTTTAATTAAATGGTAATTAATTAGCTAGCTGGTTTGGCCATTAATTAAAAGACAACTTGATTGCTTTACAGATGGAAATGGTAATTTACTAGAAGACAATAAGTAAATTAATAGAGTCAATCCTCATCAGTTTAGGATCAGAGCTCCTGCAGTCTGCAGTTTGATTGGTTAATTTAAGACTCCACAGTAAGCGCATACATATATATATATATATATATTTCCTTACGGCCCCTCAAGCATATATAATTTCTTTCATCTTAATTTAATTTGACTAAACTGTATAGATTAGGAAATTTTTAATAAAAATCTTGATGGTTGCGTTAATTAGAGAGGGTGATTTGAGGAACACGAGGGCGAGGTCTCCAACTCAATGCTTGTGGTTTCGGCATTGAGAAGAGTGCATCTTTGCTCGTACACCACACTCGGTTCAATATTAACAATATGCAGCTCACTAGGAAGTTTCATTCTCATCAATGCCACCGTAAAACTACTCTGTCAATACATATATATATATATATATATGTAGATACATACATATATTTATATATATAAATATCTCAGTTTTTGTAATGAAATATTTCTGGGAAAATAATGGGTCATGCTGGTTATTAAGCCCAACGCGGCCCAATTAATTTTTCATATATCAAGTAACTACAATCCAATTCCCTTACCAGACGAGGCACCATATCTCCTCTCACACCCAGCAACTCAATTTCTGTAATGATCTTACTGTCAGTTGATTTGTATTTACCATAATGACTCCATCAACAACTATCTTCAGCACTAACATAAATACATGCATATACATACATATATACGTAATACATAAATACTGTATATCTAAAAGTCTGCAAATTATCCAGTGGAATTGTTCTGCCTTCCCCTGCAGCAACCATGTGTGGCACAATAAAGATCCATGTACTTAGTGTTGACCAAGCCTCTATTTTGCAATATAGTAATATAAGACCAGACCGTGATCATATCGTAGAGAAGACTCCTTCCTTGGTTTCAAGATGTGAAGCATATCAAGTTATCTTGTACAAGGCACTAAAATCTCTCAGCTGACAGCCTCAACAGACCTCGAAAATATTTTGGAGGCCTCCTACTTATTTCCACCGATATAAAGTTGGCGTGATCTAGTTCTCTGAAGATTGATCCTTCCTGCTAGAAACATATGATTCTGAGTTCCAGCAATCAAATAACACCATCCAGCAAAGACTTGGGGAACTTGGCAGGAATATGCTCCGAGTAACCTGTGTCCATACGATATATAACCAAACCAAGCTAGGAAATGAGAGTCACAATGTGGCGTCTTCAAGGAGCAAAGATTAACAATAGGAGTTATCTGATGGAGTAACAATCTTCCGAATTTTGAATCATACACTACACTGGGTCATGATGCGTCACCATAAATATCACTAGTAGCTATAACTTTGAAATGACCAATCTGTTCGATCCACAAACATAATTAATCATCTTTACTGGTAATAATGCATAATCAGCAATCTTCTCCAAAATGAACTGATTGGGATCCTGAAGAACCAACTTGCCAGAGTGCTCACCGAAGCAAAAAAATGAATGGTATCCTATACCATCTTGTCAATGACACACTAAAAACTAAACTGTTTATGAGTTCTGCAAAACCGATAGACAAAAATTTTCCATGGGATGGCACTGAGAGTCAAGGGAAACTACTATCCTG